CAGCAGCTCCCTCAAGGCGAGCAGCACTGACGCGCACTGAACGCTCTCCTCCAGGCCCTGAACACGTCGGGGTTGGTCTCTCTCCAGCCCTCGGCCCCTACCCAACCACTGAGACTCCCGCCCATCTGCTCACCCAGATTCTCACCAAACCGAGGAAAAGCTCCCGAAGCTGGGCGGCATCGTGCCGCAGGCGCTCGGCCGCCTGGGTCCGCTCGTCAGCACCGCGGCACACTAGGCGGCCTTGCATCAGCGCACGTAGGTACTGCAGCACCACGGTACGCTCCGCCTCAGCCAGCAGCAGCTGCGGGGAGCACGATCAAATGGTTCCAGGACGCTTTTCCCGTGGGCGCTTTCCCCCCTCCCCAGCCTTTCCCCGCAAACGCACCTGGACCGCAGGATCCCGCACGTGTCGGAAGTCCTGGCAGAAGCTCGCGGTCCGCTCGCACACGTCATCCAGCAGCTCTGGGCTCGACAGCCACCGGCGAGAGGGCAGAGCAGAGAATAGGGGCTGGAGCGGAGGTCAGAGACGCGGCTGGAGGGACGATTCAGATCCGGCATTCCCCGCAGAGACCCCCAAGCATACGCTGTATCTCCTTCTCCCACCCCCATCTCCATCTGAAGCCTCACCTGTAGCTCCGCCAGCAGCGCCTCTAACACCAGGCGGCAGATCCTCCTCTGCAACTCGTCCAGCGCTGCCTCCACCGGAGCCAAGGCCCCTGGAGCCACCCCGTCGGGCTGCAGGACGGACACGGAGGAGCTGGACCGACCAAAAGTACGGCTTCAGGACCAAGGCCAAGGCCCAAGAGGCCCTCCGTTGTCTAGCCACTCGGGCGCCACCTAGTGGCGCAAGTGTGTTCCGTGAGGGGGCAGGAAGGGCGGCTCCCTGCACTTCTGAAAGTCTGGGCCACGGATTGAGGATGGGAGTGGTGGGCTCAGCGAGCTAGAAGGGACACAGGCCAGCTGCACCTGCCTCTAATTCGCGGTGTGACCTTGGGCAAGTCATGTCTTTCAGTTTCTGTTTCGGTAAGGGGAGAGAGTTAATCCCAGTCAGGAGGGAGTCAAAATCATCGTTAATTTGTTTGTCCTCTCTGCCCCCACCCCAAAGAACATGAGACCCAAGAGGAAGGGAATGTTTTTGTTTTGTTCACAGCTGTAGTGCTAGACATGACCTGGCACAGAGTAGGGCCTTGATAAATATTTGTTGAATGAATGAATAATTGACACTATGTGCCAGGTACTGTGGTGGGTACATTTTATCTGTTATCTCATGTGATTCTCAGAATGTCCATTATTACCCATATACTACTGATAACAAAAGCAAGATTCAGAAAGATTAGGTAACTGGCCCAAGGTCACACAGCTAGTAATTAGTAGAACTAGGATAGGAACCCCAGGGCTATGTGAGTCCAAAATTCCGAAAGGCCTAGTGTGTGCTGGGTCCATACCTAATAGGTGTTCAGTCAGGGGTTAGTGAAGGTGGGGTTCGGAAGGGGCCTCCTGGTACCTGAGTGCTGATTGGTGGTTGAGGGTGGCCAGCAGGTAGGGCACGTAATGAGGGGCCGTTGCTTCCCCCCTGAGGTGGTCTCGGGAGAATCGGATCAGAGCATCACTGAAGCTGCAAAGGGCAGAGGTGGCTCCTGTATCTGCTGTCACTCTGTGCAACCCCAGTCCTTGGTACTCTGGCCCCACCTCCAAGATACCCAAGGCCCTGTTTTGAAGGAGCCCTTTTCCGCAGGTGTGTCTTATCACTCAGAGCCCCTTAGCGCTGCCCCAGGATCAGGGCCAGGGGTTGGGAGTGGGTCAGTGCCTTGGCAGACCTCCTTAGGAATGCGCTCAGTTCTGACAGTGCCATGCCATGCACCCGCCGCTGCAGCGACTCACTGACCATTCTGGTCACGCGAATGTTCTCTTCCAGGATCTACAGGCAGGGATGGGCAGCCATCAGCAGAGTCCTAGTCCTGCCCTCCTTCCCTTTCCCTATGAGAGCTGCCCCCCTGCCTTGCCACTTTTCACCCACCTGCAGCACGATGGCTGGCATTGGTGAGTGGTAGAAGCCAGATGGGTCTGTGTCAGGCTCCTGCTCTCGGCCCCACTCAGCTACATCCCCGTCCAGTGCCTTCTGCAGCCACTGGGCCACACTTGCCTGGGGAAAGGGGCAAGGTGCAGCAGTATGTAGCAGGGCACTGACACTGCTAGAGACAGGTGGACATGCGACTCCACAGATACAGGCCCACAGCTGGTGGCAGAGCTGCTCTGAACCCAGGCCCCAACTACTCACCTGGACTTTGGCCACAAATATTGCCTCCAACTGCTCGATGTTCTCCAGGGTCAGGAGGGGCTCCAGATCAGACACATCAGCCTCGGGCCCTAGTTCCAGGCTCCCCATCATTTCTGGCCTAGACATGGGTAGCCTAGTGTTACATTGAGCCTCCAGCCTTTGATGAACCCACTTCCCATTGCCCCAGGGACACTGACCCCAGGTACACATGCAGTGCCCAATGCAGCAAGGTGAAGGCGTCGGCAGCTTCCAGCTGAGGCCCTTCCAGGAGTTGCTGCAGGCAGCGGCGCAGGCCACTGTGCAGGGTGCGGGCCCACAGCCGGACCACGTTGTAGTGTGGTGGGCAGCAGGGTGCTACCAGTGCCTCAGCCGCGGCCAACTCTGCTGGTAGAGCCACCCGCAGAGCCTCCAGCCACTCTGCTAGTGCCCCTGGCCCAGGCTGCAGAGGTGTCCCAAAGTGGATCTGCTCCAAGCCCTCCTGTAGTGCCCGCAGACAGCGCTGCCGCCAGTCCCGGGCAGCCTGCTCCAGGGAGGTTGTGCGCCCAGCGTCCACTTCGGCCACACGCATAGCAGCCACCAGCAGGGCTGGATCCTCCCGTGCCAGCCGCCCTGCAGCCCATGCAGCCGCCTCCACAGCCTGGCCCAGAGCCTCAGCCAGAGGGCCCAGCCCCTCGAACACTGGCAACTCCAGGCTCCCGAGAGGTGCCCACGTCTCCTCTTGTAGCTGCTCCAGTTCCCGAAGGCTCACATATGCCTCCAAGAGTCGCTGGGCATCAATCAGGGTCTGTGTGTGGGCCAATGCAGCAGGCACTAAGCGGGGAGAAGAGGCAGCCCTGGGTCTCAGCCTTCCCACCTGTGCAGTGGGTGTAGCAGTAGATGCTGAGGCCCTGGGGCTGGGATGATGTGTAAAATATTTAATTATCAGTACAGTAGAGCATTGGTCAATCTGAAAGGACCCAGGGAAGGGCCTACATGGTGGGCCAGTGGTAAACCTTTGAGCTGATGGAACATGAAGAAATCAGGGATCTTGGAGGGAAGGCAGGGAGGAACTGGGGGAAACATGCAAGTGGCTATTCATCCACCCTGTTAGGGAAATATTTTAGTAAATTAACAGCCAGGTTGGCCAGAGCCACTTGGTGTCAGTCCTGACTCAGACATCCCATGCTTGGGAACCCCAGAATGAACTAATAGGCACCCTTGCTTCATATGCCATTTGAAGCCTGAGTTACTCTCTGGGAGGTCGCACACGTGTCCGCCCATGCAATCTCCCACTGGCGCCCCAGGCCCTTGATCACTGATGGTGTTTGTCGACTACCAGTCGGAGGAATGCGGCCTAGGGCCCTACACACTCACCAGCTCGCAGCCTGGGCAGCAGCTGAGACATGGCCTGCAGTTGCTTGTGTTGCACAACCTGCTCCCGCAGGGGTTCTAGGGTCTGTGCAGCCTCAGCCATACCCCAGAGCAACCCATGAGCCTGGCCCAGGGCTTCGCGGGCTCCCTGCACGTCCTCAAGGGCCCAGGCCAGCTGCCGCACACCGGTCTTCACACCCTCCAGGTATGACTGCACCACCGACTGTGGGAGGGAGGCAGCCGGTGAGGCCTGGCCAGTCCTGCAGCCCGCCCTCAGCACTCCTGCCTCCTGCCTGATGCCCACCTTGATGCGTGCTTCCAGGGAACAGGTACGCTGCACCTCGCGGCTACGGTACTGGCCGAGCCTGGCCAGCTGCTCTGGCCGGTAGAAGATGCCCGAGGCCCACTTGAGTGCTGCACCCCGGGCCAGCTGCTCCGCCCTCTCCTGCTCCGGCCACTCAGGCCCTGGGCAGGAAGAGCCTGGGCAGCCGCGTCAGTTGGGCAGGGCCTGCAGGAAGTGGCTGCCAAATCTGCTCCCCTTCCTACCCCTCGGCCTGTCCCCCAGGGCAGTCCACTCTTCTCCCTGCCCTCCCTATAAAGCTCCAGCCAGACCTGGCAGGGAGGACCAACCCCACCATCCCCATCTTTCTTGCCACCATGCCCCCCTCAGCCCACCCAGAAGGGCTCATACCAGGGGGAAGTGCGGGCTGCATTTTGTCCCTGGCTGCTGAGTCCATGGCTGGTGGAGCCAGAGCGGAGGTAGGAATGGGAGCGAAGGTCCAGGTTAGAACAAGTAGAGTGGGAGCACCTCTGAGCTGCAGCCTCCGTCTAGGCCCCCGCTGAGAAGGAGGAAGGTTCTTGCCCAGCCCCCTCAGGAAGTGAGAGGGAGGTGGGTGTGATGGGAGGGAACCTGAGACACCTTTGCCTGCCGGGTTTCTCAGTTTTGTCCCTCAGATGCAAGTGAAACAGGGTAGGCATGGGCCTCCACTGGACACTGCTCCTGCTCTGAGTTGCAGAGGACAGTTTGATATGGAACTCACCAGGCTTGGCCAGGCGTCCAGTTCTCCCTCCTCCACAGATAGCCTTGGCCTTGAGGATGGCCCTCTCCCCTGGCCTTCTTGGCAGAGCTGGGTACTCCCACCACTGGCTCATGAGACCCACACCTCAGCATGCAGCAAGAGACTTCCTCTCCCCAAGGAAGCCTCTGTCCCACCTCTCTGCCCAGGAGCTCCCTCCTCCCTCCAAGGTCCCGCCCTCTCCAAGGCCACATGCAGAAAGGAAGGAAGCTGAGTCTCTGGTACTTTATTCCCAACAGGAAAGAGCATCTGCACTGTAGGACAGAGTGGGGAGGGCTGGGCGCCACTTCCTCGCAGGGAGGCGGGGTGTACTCCCTGTGATCATTGAGACTTGAGCAGCCTATGCAGGATCTGTTGTGCTCAGGACACAGACATGAACTAGGTGGCCCCAACCTGGGTGGAGAGCGAGGTGTGCAAATATGGGTGTTGACAACATCACAGTGTGACAACTGTGTTGACGGGCCCTTCAGAGGTGGGTGTGCCTCTGCACAGGAGCAAGAGACGACAGGCTGTTGTGAAGACGGTGTGTGGTAGGTGATGGCAGAGACGGGTGGAAGGGCTATGAAAGCTATGTTTGTCTTGGGAGTTAAAGGGAGCCATGGAAGGGACTACTGGGTAGTAATAATGTAGTGGACACTGGCTACTACCCGAATCCACCCTTCAGGACAAAGATACTTGTTCCCCCAGCTGCCAGAAATGTAGGCTGCTGAGGTCTCACAGCTGAGTCTCTCAGTCAATGTTAGGGTATAAAGGCCAAGGTACCCTTGCCTTGGAAGGCCTTGGAAGAGTCACCCCAGTTTCAGAGCTCCGAGTAGGATGGTCCAAGTTCTCTGTTTTAAAGATTAAAAAAAAAAAAAAAATTTACTGGGCCTCCCTGGTGGCGCAGTGGTTGAGAGTCCGCCTGCCGATGCAGGGGA